AGTGGTCATACACTATATCCAACAATTAATTTACTAGGAGTGCTGTCAGAAAACATGCTACCTGTTGCCCTGCAGGAGTGACTTCTTTAATTCTGCATTTATAATTTTTGTGGGTGAATAACAGCCTCATATTTCTTTCTCCCCCCAATAAAATATTTATTAGCAAACATCGTGCTGCACAAATTAATGCTGTATGATTTCTTTCCAGGCATTCTCTTTTTTTTTTTTTTTTTTTTTTTGTAACAGTAATGCTTACACTCACAGTAAACACTCTCTGTAATTTGCATGTTTTATTTGGAGGAGTACTTGCCTGTGGGCAAAAGCTATGAAAGCCCTAGAGACACAGAAGTGACTGAAGCTTTCATTTTAGGCCCTTGCTAACGTGGGTATTGAGCTGATAGCTGCTGTCCTTCGCGTGGGACAGGAAAAATGATCTCTGGTGGCTCTTCAAAGCTTGTAGGAAAAAGTCCCTGGAATCTTTCCCTGCTGAAATGAGATTACCTGTTTCAGTGGCTTGGTTGTGATTGTTATAATCTTAAGTGAGTAACAACTTGTCTTGGCACATTCCCAACAGCAGGACAAGCACACAGGAACTCCTTCCCTGGGTATCATTCCCAGGTTGGCCAACTAACCTGAGCTGTTGGTCAGAAGGATCTTGGGATCAAGCTCCTCTCCAAACCCAATGTAACAATCTCTTGCTGCCTGTATGTATCAGTGACCACATGCTGTGGTGGTACTTATTCCTAGCTTTCTACATCCTCCTGTTTATGCATGAGGAGCTTTAGCCAAGCTAACCAAAGCCCCGGTGTTTCAGGGATTAATTCCCAGAAAAAGCTCAGAGGAAAATGATCAGCTGGGAGCTGATTAAATACCTCTCAAGCCAGCCCCATGATACTCCCAGTTGGGTGAGAAAGACAGCAGGCTTTGCTGAAGTAAGGCTAGGATGAGAGGCTCTGGCCAAGAAGTACTGCTGTGCTTGATTTTTAAGTGATGCTTTTTGTTCCTTTGGCCCTTGTCTGGCTGCAAGCCGTGAAGGCAGCTACAGCCTGTTGTTAATAGGTAACAATTTGGCTCTAATTCTAAATCCTTTTAGTGAAATCCTGCAGGAGGTTGGTGATTTTTGTAATCTAACTTGAGCCTCTGTTCACATTCCACCTGTATACCGTGAATGCATCTTCATTAGTCTGTGTGTGTACGGGTATTGTAGGTAACATCCACAAGTGCTGGCAGGAATGGAAAATATTTAGCAGGAGGAATTTCACTTCTCTCTTTGCTTAACATTTTTTTTTTAAACATCAAGCATATCTTTCAATAAAAATAATTAATGTGTTTATTTTAACCAGAGCTGGGTAAGTAATTTGCATTGAAGAAATTACCCTATTCATCTTTTTTAGATCAGGCACAAGTTGTGACTTTCTCAATGTACTTCCTATTCAAAAAGATTTCCCGAAACCTTTTCATGAATGAATCTGTTGGGAATCCTTCCACAGACAGTTTGGTATAAGCATTAATTTCAGCAATTAATTCTAGTAGAACTCAGTGTCCAAATATCTTTAATTTTGAGCATCGCCAGCTAATTAGTCGAAATCTAAGTCATTTCTATTCAAAAGGCAAATTGTCATCTTGTAAGACAGCAGCAACTTTGGAGTTGTTTGAATTTTTTTGTAATTGTCTGGCTATTGTTAATTGGAGCTGTGCTCTTCTGTGGTCTTCTGTATTATTCAGTGGTTGAAATCTTTGCCACTGAAGTTTGCAGGAAATACATTTTTCTAATGGACCCCAGTGCTTTATCTACTGTTTCAGCAAACACAGCCATCCAATTCCCTCACTAGTGCACTGGAGCAAGGGGAATGATGAGGCACCAATCCAATCAGAATTTTAATATTAAAATACCAAGAATAAATACTCAGATAAAATATTTGGCAATATAACCTAGCTCTAATTTGCACATTTTAAAAGCTGATCTTTCATGTCCCCTCGAGTTCTTTGTTCATCTGAGCCCCTGGATAAAGTGCATGGAAATTCAGAGGATATCTTATGTCATCACTATTTGTGTTAATGGCTTAGGAAACCCACAATCCAATCAGTTAAAATAAACAGCCCAGTGTAATAGGAGCATAAATCAATGAAGACTTCATTACTGAAACCTTAATGTGTAATCCATCCACCTACAGAGAAAAAGGATACTGAGAGGCAGCAAGACAAAACTAGAGGGCTGATATTTAAAAAAGGTGCTGAGAACTGTAACTCTTCCTGGAGTCTGTAAATTTGGTGGGTACTCATCACCCCTGACAGCCTGCTCCTGACTACTTAGTCCCCATGCTTAAAAAATGCCAAGAAGTACAGGAAGGGAGCTCTCATCACTGTTTACTTCCTCTGAATGTACTGGGAGACTTGAGACAGTTCAAGACTGGATAATGAGCAAAGACATCACTGAAACTATCCATTACCAAGAAGTAGCAGTATTCAGAGCTGCAATAACCCTGCTGCAGCTCTTCCTCTCTGTGCACTCCATTGAGCTGGTTCCATGAATTTGAATGTCCTCTCTAAGATGAGAGTTGTAATGGCGGACCATGAGTAATTGTATTTCATTGAAGTCAAATAGCTTGTCTTGGCTGGGAAAGAACCAGCAGTGCCATCATAGTGACTCTTTTGGAAGCTTGGTTGGAGGGAGCTGCTGAGCATCCCATAGGAGTTCTGTGACACAAGTGGGAGCTTTGGCTGACAGTCTTAACTGTGAAAACTGACCGCTTTCTCTGCTTCATTCCCACATCTGAGAGCATGCCTTCCTCCACTATGACAGCAGAAGGGTATAATATAGAGCTGCCTAATTAGCTGCACCATCCTCAGAGCCGTTTTGGATTGAGCTGTTGCTTTAGCTGTGAGCCACTGGAAATAAGTTGTCCATCTGCATTAAACAGCCATCCTTACAGATCTGACTTATACAGATTTTCTTTATGTTCTTTCTATAACTTCTTTTTGCTAGATGTTACTTCCTGATTTCTGCCTTTATATATTCAGTTACATAACGTTAAGTATGTCAGAGAATGGTTAAGTCACTTTGATCTAGTTTATGTGAAATAACTAAGGTTATTAATAACCAAGGCTACCAAAAGGGAAGTTTGCTGTTATACTGGAAACTCTTATTGCGTTGTATTTGTACAGAAATTAAGAGATCTAGATCTTAACCCAACTCATATAACAATACAGACTGATGAGACTTCAATCTTAGCAAAGAAATCTGGATAGAGCAGGATTCAAGTAAGGGCTGCAATGTATGACACAGATGGATGGTAGATAGCCAGTGTTTCCTTCTCCACAAACATGCTGTATCTCATTTCCTCTAGAGAAAAATGTAGGGTCAATCTAAAGCAGAAAGCGTGATGTCAGGGTGTGCTGTTTGCTCAGTCTTGATTAAAAATAAGTTTAGGGTATCTTTCTGCTCACCAGCCTCCAGAGTTCCACGTGGTTGTAGCTGTAAAGCTGCAAAGACAGGGTGATTTTCTTGTGAAGGAGATTGATAAGGCTTGTAGATATTCTTTTCCATCTGCCGTAATAACGGATGTTCTTATTGAAAATGACAACACATTGCTGGGTTAATTTCCTCAGCTTTGAGGTAACCAGACTGATCCAAAGAAAGAGGTGTTCTTTAGAATTAAGATATAAACACTGCAGAAATGCTACTGTGTATTAAATATTGCGTGGCAGGATCACTGTGTCTGTCAGAGGCTTTTAGAAGGTGTTAGCAATATGGCTGCACGTATTCACTGGACAGATGGCACAAAGAGTACTCAGTACCCAAACAAGGATTTCGGTGCGTCTGCACTACATGAGGCACTGTAGCCTGATGTAGTATGAAATTCACTGTTCTGAATTCAACACTAAAATTGTTGTGTTTCCTTTTCAGAGCTCCTGTGACAAGGATGTCCTCCTAAATATCCTCAGTGTCCTCACTGACCTGCTGTCTTTGGGTAAGGAAGCATTGCTGGGGCAATGCCTGCATGCTAAGGACAGGATTTTCCTAATTCTTAGTAATCAGCCACTGGAAATATTCACCTGTGCAGTTTGGGGGGGAGGGGGGGTGGGCTGTGAAACAAAGAGAGGAACCTGACTTCCCAAACCACAAATACTTTATAATAAAGGGAGTTAGGCACCTCCACCTCAGGGCTGCAAGGATGACATGTTGCTTGCTATGTGTGCCTGAGCCACATCAAAAAACAAGTGAATTGGCAAAAAAAAAAAAAAAACCTGGAAAAAAAATTAAATGTATTTTCCCTGGCACTCCACCTCAGAAATATTATTAATGTTATTTGTTCAGTAATTCTCAACCCAACTGAACTACTAGGCTACATCAGTAAGAACTGGAGGCTCCTGTGTTCCCCAGTCCTCACAGCCCCATCACAGGCATTGTGTGTCCAGCTAAGCTGCTCCTTGCAAGTCCTGCGGGATCATTCCTCATTAGATGGAGGGATTGCATACTGGGAGAGCAGCAGAAGCATCTCCCCTCCAGGTGCTCTGAGGGCTGAACGTGCAGCTGATTCCAACCAAGGAGAGTTGGTTCAGCTGCCAAAGGTGACCATGGACTCCTGTTTGTTGACATGGTAGGGCTCGCAGGATTAGTTTCTGGTTTCTTTGAAGACCTAGATTTGTCTGAAAGCTTCCCCAGGATTCATTTTCATTTGGCAGATGCTTGTGGTCTAACTTCCAATATCTAAGAAAAGACCACTGAACCTTCTGTGCCTTTGAAATCTGTTGGTGCCTCTATTTATTCCTCTGTACTGCATTTCAATGCACAATGAAAAACCTCTGCAGTGGTTTTGTGAAGGTAATGACTGCTGAAGTGAGATGAGAAGAGAGCATTGTTTTTTTGTATCACTATTAGCCACATCTCCAGCTGGGGGGCAATCAAGAGGTCAACTCTGCAAATGATCTGGAGTTTATGGCGATAAAACAACTCGAGAAGGCCATGGGAACACTGTGTGCATTGTGCAGGTTGAAAGTTAACGCTGCACGTCTGGGGTGAGGATGGTCTGAGCAAAGCCCTTCTTGTCCCCTTTCCCCCAGGGACTGGACGAAGAATTCACTATGTGATCAGCAAAGGGGGTAGTGAGGCACTGCTGCAGGCCCTCATCTCTGCTGCCCGGACCGAGCCACCCGACCCCACCATCCTCCTGCCTCTGCTTCGCCTCCTGGCCAGGGTTGGCCAACAAGGTACTGCTGCACAGTGGGATGCTCGGGGTTAGGGGAGTGGGCTTAAAACTAACAGACAGTCTCGGCAGTAATCAGCACTGAGATGTTCCTGTTAGTGTTTTGAGTTTACTTTTGGGTTGCTCTACTTTGGAAATACTGGTCATCTACAGTTTGGCCAGTTGGAAGTCTTGCAAAAAGACAGGGAGAGTGTACTCATGCACATTCTGCCTTGGGCTGAACTACTAGCTGAAAAGTTCCCCCCTAGCAGAAATTCATTTTTGATTCTCTTAACCTAAGTGAAACTATAAAATAGTTTTTCTTTGTATATGGTGACTGTAGGTAATTCTGATGCTCTCTTGTTTTCAGTGTAACCTGCAAATAACAGCAATCTAACTCACTGGTACACTTGAATGAATTTTTAATGAAATCCCCTCTTATGAGATTTGGTCCAAGTTTGTTTATCAAGAGTTCTGCAGATACTTGGTCTTCACAGTAATTTTGATTCTGCTTTGCATTTCACAGACCGGAAGTTTGGGATTAAAGTGCAGAAAGCAGAAGCAACTGATGTAATTCTGAGCTTGACGAGGCAAAACCTGGGTCACCACCTGAACCTCACCCACTGCCTCTGGGTCCTGCGGGTTTGTGCTTCTAATGGTGAGTACCTAGGTTTTCCTCCTTTTCTCACAATGGCAATTAGTAGAGTTCTTTTTAGTCATTTCAGTAAAATAAGCATTTCTGTTTAGAAGTGTCTGCGTGCACTGTTAATACATGGAATTGAACACAAAAATCCAGAATAACCCTAAAAAGAAATATTCCTAGAAGTATCTATACAGCCTTTACAAAGTATTTCACATGTGGACTATCAAATATAGGTGGAAAATATTCATGAATATGAAAGTATTTCTGGCAATGGTCTCCTATTCCATAATACATACAGCCAACTCCTTTGCTGGGGCTTGGGTACCTTTAGTTGCTATGCAGTTTCTGTTATCATAATAGCCAAGTGTTTCACTGTTGTTGATTGTATTGATCCTCAGAGTAGCTGTACAGGGTAGAGTAATGCAGTTGGAGCAACAGAGGCAAGAGGCAGAGAGAAATCACTTATTCAGGGTCCTTCAGGAAGTACAGATTAGAGCTGGGAACTTAATGCCTGGTCTCCTCTCCTGTCTTAGTGTTCCTTCCCTTGTCTTGTTTGGCTATGCCTTCATATTAAGCAATTCAAGCAACAGGATTTCCAGTATTACCCCTAAGGATCCTTACAGATTCATACAGGTTTTCCCTGCTGTGAAGCACTGAGTTTGTCAGCACAAGTTTCCCTTTGCTCACTCTAACCATTTCTTTTTCCTCCCTCCCTTTCCTCACCCAGCAGATAATTCTTGACAGTCATCCTGCCTGCAGTCTGCCTTCATGCATCTTAAGATTTAGCATTCCTGGCTCCCAGCCCCGCAGGTCCCTTCTAGCTGTACAGGAGCTAGTTTCATGCAATGGGCTTTCTCAGGCAAGCAGCCAAACCTCAACATTCAGCCCTTCTCCCTGCTATAAGCAGCATTTGAAAGACCAAGTCTGACTGAAAATGCAGCCAAGACCAGAAGCTGAAATGTGGCTTTATTTGAGTTTCACAGCTGTGTAATGACCCTGTGTTGCCTCCCACCCGAAATGATAATCTACACCAATCACTGCTCTGCTTCAGTGCACCTGCATCCCATTTCAGCTGCAGATGTTACAGAGGTTGCAGAATGCATGCTGCAGCCTGGCCTCCTTCCTGCTCATGCCAAGCCCCTCACCCTACCTCAAAATCCATCCTCTACTGTTTTGCCGGAGCAGCCCTGTTGCTCTTCAGGTGCCTCCAGCCCAGCTATGCTTCCATCTTGTCTGAGTATTTTTGACTCTGCCGTCTTTGTGGCCCAATAAACAACTGGAGTCTTCGTTGGGCATTTTTAGAATTGGATTGCCAGAACTGTCTATAAATGCTCCCAGTGTGTGCTGTCAAGTGAAGGATTAAAGGTAGCTGAAATTAAGATGTACTCAGCAGCCCCCCTCCCAAAAATACGCTTCCAAACTGCTGAGTAAAAGCACAAGTAGAAGTAAACTTGAGCCTCCGTCATGCCTCTATGAAGTAAGCCATCTTCATGCAGCTGCCTCTGGCAAATGTAGGAAGAATTTGAGCCCTGTTATTTTCCTGACTGTATTCAATTATGATTTGTCCTCTAGAGAGTACAATATTCACAGAGGAAAGAGCTTTGGGAAACTCAGGGAAGAAGCAAACTATTTGAGAACTGGTTTTGGGATGACTCTGTGTAAAGGTGTGTCCATTGCCAGCTCTGTGCTGCTGTTTCTCTGTTTGTAAAATGATCTGTTTAGGACAATTGGGAGCCCATAGAAATCTCCTCATAACCTCAGGGGCAGCAAGTCTCTTCCCTGCACCAGCTCTAAACACTTCATTGCAGACTGCCTGCTTCAGACCTGACTGCTTTTCTCTTTTATTGGTTTAGTTGCTGCCGGAACCACGCTTGGCATCAATGGAGCCATGGAGCTGCTTTTCAAAGTCATCACTCCCTACAGCAAGCAGCACATCAGGACTGTAAGGTAGGCACTAGCCCAAGGGAAACTCATCTTTCCAGGCCAGCAAGAAATAAAATTTTGGTTCCACGTGAAAAGGCAAAGAAATCAGAAATCGATGCACAATTTCCATTCACTTTAAATCTGCAGATTTTTTTAAGAGGCAGAAATAGTTCCCTGAAGGACACGCTTATGCTGTGATTCATCATATGATTCATGCTGGTGGCTGTTTACTTGTAGCAACGGCAGTTTGATTACAAGGTATCATCCTTCAGTTTCCAGTCAGGACTGGAGTTTGAGAAGCGCATCCGAGCAGCAGACTGCTCCTGCCCACCCCTTAGCAAGAGCCTCCTGCCTGGGGCAGGTGCAGTGGAACTGTGGCAGATTGTCTTTTTCCTTGTGCAAAGAGCTGTGATTAAATCATTCCAGTATTTTTGAAGAATAACAGTTCTAGCTAGTGTTAACCTAGGACTGTTCTGAAGTCCGTTCTAAATATTTCAAATAGTATACTTGTACCTCTGTTTGAATACAGAATATTATTCCTCAAGCTTTCCGTTCTGGCAGTGCCTCAGATGCATTTCAAGGTAGTACAGAAGATGAACATCCAAACCGTGTGGTTTGTTCATTGCAACCAGAAGGTAGAACTTACTGCAATGACCTCTGCCCACACATTTGCTTAAGCAACACAGAACCTGCTGGTTCTCTCCCTTAGACATGCTCTGCTTTCTGGAGCACGTTGTTCCTACTTGTTCATGAGAGCCTTAGCAATAATCAGTCAAGCCTAGCTTCTGTACTGACTCAACGTGGGTGCAGTTCGTGGATGGCGGTTACTGAAGAAGGAGCTTTAGGTTGGGTGTGATGTGTAGGTGACAGGTGGAAAGACAAATGTGGCACAATTTGATCATTTTATGCATAGCAGTCATAGGAGTGTGGGCCAGTCACCCTGGATGGGGGCACCAATAAATTGTGTCCTTTCAGATGTTGTGACAGATTAATACCAGTTCTCCAAATACCAGCCACAACCAGTTACACAATACACTACAAAGGAAGGAATTTGAATTATTTTCCTAGCTCCAATTGATTAACTTGCAATCAACATTAGTTCTTTTGTTTGCTAATGCAGTCTTTTTCCAGTTTTTCTACCTATGTATCTGGGGTTATAAAAATTTGAGCACTTTGTCTTATCAAATAGGCCCAGCAGATGCACAACTTCCTACAGCTGCCTTGCTAATGGAAGCCAGTTCATTTTTGTCTGCATTATTGGCTTTCTACTGTAGTACTGAGTACCTGGAACTGCTTCACAGTGTTAGTTTTCTCTGCACCATCACTCCAAAAATATGATATGATCCAGTGTGTTTCCAGCATGGGGATTTGGATATCACTCAACTCTAAGGATATTATTGCTGTGGTGTTATTTCTAGGATATCTTAGTAGCCTCCAAGTTTCTCTTCAGGCCTCTTGGTACAACTTTAAGACTCAGGAAGCCTAGAGAACTGTTTTATGACAGTAAGGTTCAAAATAAGTTAGTTCCAGAGTTGGACTTGTCTTCTGAGGCAACCAAAAGGGATTGATGAGTCCATTATCTTAACTAAGGAAATTCCACCCAATTCCCTGGTTTCCTTGTGTTTTCCTGAGGCACTGGCTGCAATTAGACTAACATTAGTACTACTTGTCTGTCTCATAGGTCAAGATCTGGGTGTAACGGGACTTGGGCCTCTATCATTTCTCTAGTTCTTTGTTATGCAATGGGACTGGTTGCTTGAGAGCACAAGAATTTTGTGCAAAGCTTCCATTTGTGGCTTCTTCTGAGGGAAGTGGAGAGGTTGGTTTGTTAAACATTCCTAGCCCAGGTTTTTTCTGAGATCCATTCAAAAGCACAGACTATAGACAACTAGCAGACTTTGGGTTTTGCTTCCTCTCAACTCCTGTAAGAATTCTCTTAATCAATTCTTAGATTATTATTATTTTTTTTTTTAGAAGAGATATTATGGGAGAGAAGCAGAAAACAGTGTCAGAATTTCTGTTAATAAAACAGCAGTTTTGCTGACAAGCTAGGATTTATTTTCCATTGGACAAAAAGGTCTTGGTGTCTACCTCACTGCTCAGTTTCCTAATTTCCTTTTTCTGCTAATGTATTTGGGCTCTTTGTGCAATGTATTTCCATGAGTATGAAGGTGGAAGATAAAATCTGTTCTACAACCTACCTGATCTAATACTTCATTTGGTGGCTGGCAATCCTGCCTGTGGCAGGGGGTTGAAACTTGAAGATCCTTGAGGTCCCACCCAACCCACGCCATTTTGTCATTCTATGATTCAGCTGGACTACTTCACATCAGAAGCATGAAAGCCTGTTTTGTTTTAAAAAGCAGTTGCAACCTATTTAAAGGCTCTAGTTTCTAATTCATTAGTGGGGATGGTGTTTGTTTGCTGTCTTTTTGGGTGTACTGTTCTTGAGACTGTTTTCCCCAACAAGCACTATTGCTGGCAAGAATGTAGGTCCTGAGACTGGAAGTCTAGACTGCAAATGGGTTGCAGATCTTTCCTGGTATTAACAAATACCTGGGATAACTATGGTTTGAAAACAAGGCAGTTTAAAGTTCATCAGAAAATGGAGGTATGTGTAAAATGCCAGTCTGTTTTTTAAGTAGATCTAATTAAAGAAAATGGTAGGGTTACTCTGGAAGGGACTTCATGGATGGACTTTCTGAGATGCTGAGAAAAAGAGTCACATGCTCTGTCTTATTCTGCATTTGTTGTTGGTCATCTGACTCAGACTGCACAGCTCGTCCCAAAGCCCCTGTGTTGAAATCTAGGGGAAGTTATTTTGGTGCAGTGAGTTGGTCACAAAAGCATATGCTTCTTTTTTGGCTGCTGGTACGGAACTTGAAGAGAATTCTAGCCTGTAACCTGCCTACAGAGGAAATCTTGTGATGTCCTCCTTGCAAGTCTCTGATCCTCCCTTTATATTTGCCCTTGATAGCTTCTCTCCATAACCACATACCCCCATGATTTGCCTTGCTTCTGGGAAGGAACAGCTGGCAACTGTGGGGGCAGAGATAATCCATGTTCTTTGATCAGCTGCCAGGAATGCCACATTGAAAATGCACTTCTCTTGTGGCTGCACCCGTGTTCTCCTGTCCTGGGCAGTAGAACCAATGTCACTTTAAGAATCTACCCTGGAGAGTGTGCTATCAGAGCTATTTATTCAGCCAGCTAAGATGTGGAAACAAGATACATAGTTCTATTTATTTTTCTCAGTGGCAAAGCTCTGGGGTATTTAGAAATAGTCTCCAATGCTCCAATTGACCTTTTCTGGGTGCATGCCAAGTAGCTCTGATTCCCCTGAGACTGACTCATGGACTTTAATTGGTCTTAGTTAGGCATCTGAGGTCTTCAGATTGCTGGTGCCATAACTGTGGTTTTCTCTAAGACTGCCCGCATCTGAAGCAAAACCCACAGGGCAAAATGTGAAACTTACTGGGGTTTAGAGAACTCCTAACTTAAATACTGTCAAATCTGAGTGAGATGGAGACTCTAGACTGTCTTGTCTGTCTTGTGTGGTGTTGTGTTGCAGTGAAAGCTTTCTAGTTCATTTCTGTAAGGACAGTTTTAAATAAAGCCAGATGTTCTGTTTATGTCAATAGTGAAGTGTGTGAGTGGGATGCTCCGATCTTTGCTGTCAGCACCTCCTCTAATGTAACACCACTGGTGCCCTGGTGCCTCACACAGTTCAATGACTCCTTTCACCTTCCGTTATTGCCTGTATCTTCTACTAGTCTCCCACTTTTCCCATGTCTCTTTCACCAGTCTTGCTCATCTTCCCAGTTCACTTGCTCTAGGAGACATTTGGATGTTTTGTGAACAGATGGATGTGGCTTTGGCAGATGTCTGTTCTCTGAAGCTGGATCTCTTCTTCTTGGATGTGTCTCCAGGTGGCCAAGCATCAGGTATCCTCCTCAGGCTGCTGGCACATCAAGCAAATAGCTTTGAGGGCTGCATGTGTTGTGCCAGTCTCTTCTTGGATGCCTTGAGTTGAAGATGGATTATCAAAGTAAAAATCCAGAACTTGATTCTTTCACATAAGGAATATTCAGTCTTTAGAAAATGGCAAGTGAGCGTGAAATTGTAAGGAAGGGAACCACTCAGATGTTATCTTTCTCTGTTGTTCTTAAAAGGTTGGTGGCCGTTCTCATTCCTACTGTTTTAATCAAACCAATTTAGAGAATGTCTTTGATCCTTAAAGCTTTTTGTGAGTACATCTATTTACCACACTGAACAATGAGTACATCTATTAAACACAGATTGTGAGAAGAATGAGTGCTCATCAGAATTTAAAAAAAAAAAAAAAAATAATAAAAATAATCTTGCTTTCTGTGAATGTTCACAAAACTTGGCTTTCTTCAGTGGGTTGTTCTTAGTGAAGTTTGACTACTTAATTAAAAGCAAAAAGTGAATTAACAAGCCTGGGAACGGTGCCAGATCAATTCAGTAGAAGATGTAACATGAAGAAATTCTGTCTTTGCTCGTGTCCAGGGTTGCCTGATTCTGACACTGAATCACAAATCTGATGTTTAGTGTTTGTTGGGTGGTCCCAGCTCCTCAGACACTTGCAGTGGATCTTAGTTTCCATGAAAGGCAGTAATTCCTCTCACATACCCACCACAGATAAAATAGTTACGTGGACTCCTTGTATATTTAAGGAAAAAAGAAGTGGGGCTGTCTTTACCTTTATCAGGTGTTTGCCCCTGGAAGTCTGAGGGGACTGTTTATTTCCCTGTTGACTGGAGAATAATGTGGAAACGGCTTGATGGGAATTCAGGGTTAAGTCGGGTGGATGGATACTGACTTAGAAAGTGCCGTCCTCCAGCTGGTCAGGACTGAAAACCCAGGAGGAGATGAGAACACCTCCTGTGTGTTTTCTTTGGTGATACTTGTTGAGGGCTGTCTTGAGTTGGGCAGTGACTCGTGAATCTGAAAAGCTCAGAAGTCAGGAAGTGATTCCATTGTCATCGTATTGTCATCACGTA